TGGTAGTGGGGGTAGCTTGCGGAAGCTCCCGGACAGGTGGCCGGCACGCCGCGACGCCAGCGTGGGGAATTCACTGGGTGGGGGCTTTCCGAAGCCATGTGGGGTGCGGGGGGAGCGGCGGCCTGGCGCCCTGAAACGGGGTCTTCTTTTCACCCGGAGCAGCCCGCGGGTCTGCTTCCCCTCCAGACACTGGGTGACCCTGGGATGCACCTCTCCCCATGAGCCAGGTGATCCCTCCAGCACTGGATTATTGGGGTGGAAAGGTCGGGGGGCGCCCCGTGTTCTTGGACAGCTGGCATCCAGAGCTGGACAAGGTGGGGAGGCTGCAGGCCAGGCCTGCAGTGCCCATACCACACCTGCCTGGGACTGGAGCCTTCTGAGGTACCCTGGTGGCACCCATCCCCTCCCTGCCTGATGTGGGTCCCACCCCAGTAGCAGATGTCCCGTGCGTCGGGATGGCAGTGCCAGGAGTCGGGCCTGGCACACTGCTCCCGGCATCCCTGAGTTCCGGCTTCATCTCCGGGGGGGTGGGGCTTGTGGCTGCCAGCTCCAGAGCCTGTTGAGAGGGCCGGTGCAGGCAGGCTGGACCGGCAGGGGAGAGGCCTGGGCCTGTCCCAGATGAAGCCAGGTGTCCAGAAAGGCCTATACCTGCTGACTTGGGGCATGGATGGGTGGTGGCCTTCAAGTTTGTAGGGGGAGACCAGGTGACAGGAGGCTCTTCCCAATGGCTCGGCATCCCTCCTGGAGTTCTGGCTGGTCCACCTCCCTCCACCCCCTCCCCGGGACCAGGACAAGGCGGGGAGGAGCTGTGCCCACGGGCCTGCTTGCTGGTCAGACTAGCTTGGAGCATCCTGTGTGGGCGGGCAGGGGGGAGGGTGAGGGAGTAGACTGGGGTTTCCTCAGAGGGGAGGGGCCAGAAGTCCTTGTAGGAAAAAAACTGGCCAAACTGGGGAGGCCGACCTTAAGAAGAGTGGGAGGGGTTGGAGAGATGGGGATCTTTCCACTGAGGTGGTGGTGGGAGGGGGGTGTCTCCCATCCCTGGGGTGTCAGACAGGGGTTGTGTGCTATCGAGGTGACCCAGCAAAAGGTGATCAGAGTGAGACTCCAAGCCCGAGTTTCTGTGCGTTGTGTCTGAAGCTCACTGACAGTGGGGACGGGCAGGTTGCCTTTGACCCCATCACAAACGTCACCCCTCCAGGCAGGCAGCTGGGGCAGGGCAGTCCCCGCCCAGGAGATTCCCCAGTGATTCTCCGCAGCCTCAGTTCAGGAATCCCCCGCCACAGCCCCTCGTGACGGAGGCCGGCCTGGAGGAGGGGGAAGTGAGGATGCAGAGGCCAGCTCACGCCCCCGGCTCGGAAGGGCCTTCGATGCCGGCCTCCGCCAGGGGCACGGGGGCAGTGGGAGAGGCCAGGGCCCCCCGCCTCGTGGGCTGCCCTGGGGTTTGGCCGCGCTCAGCCCCTGCCCGTCTGCCGCCAGGTCTTCGCCTTGATAGTGTTCTCCTGCATCTTCGGCGAGGGCTACAGCAACACGCATGACTCTGGGCAGAGGTACTGCGTGTTCAACCGCAATGAGGACGCCTGCCGCTTCGGCAGCGCCATCGGGGTGCTGGCCTTCATGGCCTGCGCCGCCTTCTTCGTGGTCGACGTCTACTTCCCCCAGATCAGCAATGCCACTGACCGCAAGTACCTGGTCATCGGAGACCTGCTCTTCTCAGGTATCTGCCGGTGGCAGCTTCCTTCGAGCTCAGGAGCAGGGGGTGTTCCCAGAAGCTCTAAGGTTCTGTGATCTGGGGGCCTTGGCACCCTGGGGAGCGGCCGGGGGCCGTGCAGGGTCGCAGCCCCGCCTGGGTTCTGACGGCGTGAAACCCACTGGTGTCGAGTGACAAGTGCAGGGCTTTGGAGCCAGGCCTCCCTTGGTGGCATCCAGCCCCCACCCAGGCTTCTCATCAGTGCCCTTTACTCTCCCGGAGGCTTCTGGGAGGTCCCGCCCTCCTCCTCTGGGGAGCCAACCCTGCGCTCCCGGTCCTCTCCCCAGCTCTCTGGACCTTCCTGTGGTTCGTGGGTTTCTGCTTCCTCACCAACCAGTGGGTGGCCACCAACCCTCAGGACGTGCTGGTGGGAGCCGACTCGGCCCGCGCGGCCATCACCTTCAGCTTCTTTTCCATCTTCTCCTGGGTAGGTGGGCCCAGTGGCCAGGGGCTGGTGTCTTTGGGGAAGGTGGCGGGGCTCTGGTGAAGGGTGGTGAAGGAACCCAGCCTCGGGGCTCCCCGCAGGGCGTGCTGGCCTCACTGGCCTACCAGCGCTACAAGGCTGGGGTGGATGACTTCATCCAGAACTACGCGGACCCCACCCCGGACCCCAGCACAGCCTACACGTCCTACCCCGGCCCGCCTGTGGACACCTACCAACAGCCGCCTTTCACCCAGAACGCCGATCCCGCCGAGGGCTACCAGCCGCCCCCCGTGTACTAAGCTGCCGTGGGGATGGTGAGGGGCGCAGGGAGGGTGAGGGACACCCCTCGGTCCTGGGGTCCTGGACTCCTCCCCTGAGGCTTGCCTCCCGGAGCTCATGCACAGCCCGGAGCACTCCTGCTCCCCACGCCCCAACCCGCCCACCCTCCTTGGGGCACGTTTTAGGAGAGGGTTTTTAGCCAAACGTTTGTCGTTGCTTGTAATGATCCCCAGCCCTGCCCAGAGTGGCTCGAAGTGCCTGACTGTGCTGTTCTGACAAGTGCCTTAGCTTCTCCCCAGCCCGAAGGAGCCGGGCTCAGTCCAGGCCGTAGGGCTGCAGTGACTTGGGGTTCTCTGCCAAAGATGAGCTGGGGGCCTTCCACCAGCCCTGCTGCCAACACAAGGCTGGGGCTCCCCTCCTCCTCACTCAGGTTTGTTTCCGACCCCCCGCCCTCCTCCCCAACCCCCCCAGAGCAGCAGCTCATGCTCACTGCTGGTGTCTGCTAGCTTTTGGATCTGGGGCCACTACCCTGTGCCAGTGCCTCTGGGCCACCATCCTCGTAGCCATGGGACAGGGCTGGTGCCTGCCGCAGGGGACACTGGGCAGCACTTCATGCTCAGCGCTCCCGCCCCTGGCTGCAGGGAGGGTCTTTGCCTGATGACACCCAGCTTTATGTAAATAAATATTGTGCCACTGTTAGGAGGTGTGGGGTGCACCCACAGCCCCAGGCTGTTCTGAATGTATGAAAAAGCTTTGGGGGAGACACACAGCACCCCTGGATTCTGTTAGACTGGTTTGGAGATGGAATAAATTTTTCTCACTCGTGAATCTCCGCTGTCATTGGTTGGGCCTCAGCCTGGTGTAGGAGGAGGGGACACTACTCTGGGGGACGCCCTCGGAGTGGCATTAGGGAGCCGCATTTCGAGGTGTGGTAGTGGGCTGCCTCCCCGCCCAGGGGCCCGCTCGTACGGTGCCTTCCATCAGCATCTTAAAATAGCAGCCGAGCTCAGCTCATAAACAAGCTGGGTTTTCTGTGCCTGCTCCGGGTTTGGTGGGGGCACCTGGGAGCCGACCTCTGAATGCCCCTTCCTGTTACCCTTCCCACCCCCCTCAAAGTAAAGGACCCCCCCGGGAGGGGCCAGGGCCCTCTACGTCCTGTAGACGGGGCTCAGCACCTCTGGAACTTGTCCTGGGACAGGGCCAGGAGCAGGCTTGGCCACCCAGCCCCCAAGGGAGCGAGCGTGTCCCCTCAGGAGGCCGGGGCCCCCGAAGCAGGCCCCAGCTTCCCCTTTTGAGCAACAACAGGGCGCTATCAAAAATGGGCCCTAATTGTTTCAAAATCCTGAGTGAAAACGAATAGCATTCTGTGAATGACAACCTCAGCGCGTGCCACACCTGGGACCTGTGTGCACGGGGTGAACCCTCAGCCCAGGCCCACCCCCACCCCCACCCCGGGGGTTCCTGCCTCCATGTGAGCTGCCTGAGGCAGAGCTGAGCTAGTTTTCTTGGCTCCTGAACTGTCAAGTGTCCGTTTCACAAACAAAACCTGACCTCACAGCCCCAGCTGGCAGCACTGACCACGACCTCCTCGTCTTTCCAGTTCGGGGCCCAGGCTCTTCAGGACGCCCGTTTCGTCCTGACGTCCGCCCAGACTGAAGAGCTAACGTGCGTCTCACAATCATTTCTCAGTCAAAAAGCCTGGTGCTGAGAGAGCAGTGGTGTAAACAAGGATCCAGGAAGACGTCCCCACCGAGTCACGTCCCCACCGAGTCACGTCGGTGCCTGCGGTGTGGCCCGGGGATTCCAGGCGCTTAGAGAGAAATACGCTCCTGCCAACTAGTGCATTTTAATGTCACGTATTCATTTCACTCTCTACCACAAGAATCAGGGACCTTGCCCCCAGTTCCCCATAAAAGACTAGCAAACCCCTGGGGTCTGAGCCTCAGCAGGTGTCACCCACATGAATGAAGCTGTGAGCCTCAAGAAAGTCATCACCAGAGCAGGAAGAGCTTTCAGCCCACAGGGAAGCGAAAGGGCACAAGTCTAGCCGCCCTCCGGCTGGGAGCCTGTCCCAGGCCAAGGGACAGAATCCTTTGTGTGGAATGAGGCTCCGCGCTGAGCCAGAGGTGCTGCCGCCTGAACTTCCCAGTGAGAACCGAAACTCAACAGTGAAAGCCACAGAGGGGGAAGAAGCCAGCCGGGCTGACGTCACAGCAGCGTGTGGCCTGCCCCACAGCTCAAAGGAGAAGGAGCGGTGCGGGCAGTGGCCGGCTCCAGCCCGGGGTGGTCCTGAGCGGATCGGCAGCTGGGAAGGGAACTGAGAGGCAGTGGGCAGGCAGAGGGAGAAATGGGCCGCATACCGCCAGCAGGGCAGGGCCCTGTGATGGCAGAAAGTTCCAGGTGCCCAGGAAGCCTCACCCACCTGGGACTTCCTCCTCTGACAGGCCGCCGGGCATGCAGAGGGGAAGGCATCACTGGGGCCTCAGTTGGGGGGGCTGCGCTGCAGGATCTGATGCGCAGCGAGGGGCTTCCGGGCCCCCGTGGCCGCCCTGGCCTCCGCGGCCTCCCCCAGCTTTCCCAGCACCAGCCAGTTCTCCTTGTCCTCGTTGCTGTCCAGCCCGTCGGGCTGACCCGAGGCCTTTCGGAAGTAGCAGAGGCGGCACACAGCGTGGTATTTGTCAGCTCCTCCGATCACCTCAACCTAGCCCGGGGGACACGAAGGGCCTGGGCTGAGCGGGCACAGCACCTCCAGGCCGCCCCCACCCTGGGAGAAGTTGGGTGGCAGCTACCTCCTTCTCCATGCCCAGCCTCTTGGTGTAGGCGGCTTCGCGGAAGCACTCCATGCACACGGCCGTCAGCTTCACCACGCTCTCGGCCAGGGGCACCAGGTTCAGGATGGTCCCGAAAGCCTGCAGTCCCGGGAAATACAGCAGGTGCGCACTCAGCCGGCCAGGCAGGTCTGTGGAACACTTGCTGTCCCCCCGCCAGTCACACCCTGTGCTGCCGGGGGCACCCAGTCTGGGATAGACTCAGTCCTGGGCAAACCGGGAAGCCGGGTCATCCGGGGGCACGGCACTGGGATGAAGAGGCTCCAGCACGGCCCCGTGCCTGCCCAGGCCCTTCCTCCCTCCCGATCCCATCCCAAGACCTGGGCCAGACGCCTCACCTTCCTCTGGAAGGTTCCATCCAGTGCAGCCACAATCACAGTCTTCCCGGCGTTGGCCATGGCCTCGCTGAACTCCACAATGTCAGGGAACTGGGAAAGGTGAGCGGAAAGAGCGTCCGCCCTGAGCAGCAGCTCCCAGGAGCCACCGAGATGCTGCCGGGCAGGGAACTCCAGCCACCCGGATCGGCCTAGAGCACAAACAGGGACCCTAACCCTCCCCGCCAGCCCCCCAGCTGGAGACCAGTGTTTCTGCACTCACCCCCCACCACAGTCATGGGTGCTCAGGCCAGAGGGCTGCCTGGGGCTGGAACCCATCAGCTGTGTGGCCCTGGCAATGACTTCCTGTTCTTGAGCCTAAGTGGCCAGAAAGGCCTCGGTGTTGCTTGAGGATTAAAGGCACTGAGTTTATTACACACGCCACTCGGCTGATAGGCGGGGGGGCTTCGCCGTCTTACTGTTTAGCATAAAGTGCGCTGCCAGGATGACGGCACGCCCTTCCAGACACGGCCCTCTGCGGTCACTACTCGGTAAACCGACCTTCATTTTACGTGGCCCAGGGCAAGGGTGCTACTCAAATGAACCATTTGGTGCATGTTTATTGGTCAGTCATATTGCCTTCTAGATGTTGGTCTCTGGGTTGACTGAAGTGACTTTGGGCAAAGGGCCTTTCTCTAAGCCGCCATCAGGGATAAGGACAGAGCCACCCAGGTCCCTGTAGCATTCCCAAACGTCCACTGGTAACCACGTTAGTTTTTCAGGCTGTGTTACGGGTTGAACTGTGTCCCCTCCCACCCCCCAAATTCATGTTGAAACCTTAACCCCCAATATCTCAGAATGTGACATATGGAGATAGGGTCTTTGCAGAGGTCATTCAGCTGAAGCGAGGCCCGTAAGGTGGGTCCCAATCCAGTGACTGGGGTCCTTATAAGATGGGACATTTAGACAGAGACACACACAGGGAAGATGTGAAGACACAGAGCCGTCGGCATCTACAAGCCAAGGACAGAGGCCTGTACCTGGTCCTCAGTCACGGCCTTGGCCTGCACCTGCCCACCTTAAAACGGCTGACATTTCAAATGGAACTTTGAAGTCCCTAGTGGATTCCGGGCTTTCTTGGTAGATGAGGAGAGGTTAGAGGCCTCCAGGTCGGCCTCCGCCTCCATCATCACCTTGCCAAGAGCTGGCTGGCTCAGGACGTGCAGCGAAGGACGTGGGCTCCGCTTCTGGGCACACATGCCGGTGCAGACGGCACGCGTCCACCAAGGACCGGAAGGAAGGACGCGACGGAGAAAATCACTCGAGCAGGAGTGGTAACAGACTCGATGAAACGCCAGACAAAACTCAAAGGCAAAAGAACAGGGGACAGATATTTGCAGCACGTGGCCAAGTGGCCCCGTCGGTCAGATAAAGGACAAACCAAGGAGAAGGTGGGTGCAAGCAGTAAAAAGAGCGACTTACGGAAGGAGAAATGGATGCGAGCGGCTAACAAACACGGGAAAAGATGTCAGCCAGAGTAGCGACGAACGAGAAACGCAGTGAGCGCAGGATGTGTGTGCCCGTGGCCCCTGCCCCCTGCCGCCCGCCCCGCCACCCGACTCTCCCGGGGGTTTCTGCAGAGGCCAAGCTGTCCCACCGCCTTCCTCCGCCCCCCGCCGGCCACCCTCCCAGCCCTCCGTGCCTTCGCCCAGCTCAGATGGCGCCTCCCTCCAGCGGCTTCCAGGCTCTCCTGGGGTTAACTCCCCACCCAAAGCCGACTGGCCGCCTTTATTGTCCTGAGACGCCCAGCCCGGCACAGGCCAGCCTCGGGCTTCACCCCTGCCGCCCACTCTCCTCAGGCAGCCCCGGAAAGCGTCACCCCCACTGTGGGTCTGTCCCCCCCACGCGGCCTTCCTCCTCCAGCCGTCACCTATGACACGCTTCTCCTCGCTAACGGGAGCGTAAGCGCAAGGGCGGAGGCTCTGGCTGTATCCCTGACACCTAGGACATCGCCACCATGTGGCACCAGCTCGGAAAATACCGAGAGAACGAGACTGGCCGGCTGACCAGCACCCCACTTAGTAGGAGTCCCAGCACACCGGGCGGCAGCCCGAGATGTCCGTCACTGCCTTCGAATGCTGCACGGGGTCAGCTGAAGGAGGAGGTGGCACATGCGTAAGGGCGGGCGTTTGCTGATGTGGACAAATGGCCACATCGTGTGACACAAGCCCAATCTATAGCCAAACACGAGTCCGTAAAGACTAGAAGGACACCGATCGCGTTACGTGTTGTCTGTTGTTCTGGGCAGGGAAAAGTCGCTCCGGTGACAGGAAGGAGCTGGCCGGGCACCCACAGCCCGGCCTCGGTGCTGTCCCGCTGAATACACAAGGCCGCTCTGTGACTGTGAGTGGTCAAGACAAAAACAAGACCACTCCCCGGTCACATGTCTGAGCAGAGACAGAGACAGACCGTGAACGAAGGACCAACCCCCGCTCCCCCGGCCACCAGAAGTGCGGGGCTAGTGTCCTCCTGACCCACTCTCCCTAGCGAAAAGGCCAAAGACCACTTCCCTTCCCGAGGGCACTGAATCGAGGTAAACCAGCCCCTTAAAGCCCCCCCAAGAATGACCCCACACAGGCCCCAATCCTAACACTAAGTCCTCCCCAGCCCCTCACGGGACACCCCTGGGTCCCACGGTGTGTTCAGACCGGAACCTGGTTGGCTCTGGGGCCGTTCTTGGTGGTCTCGGGCTAGAGGACGTGGACAGTGGTCACCTACGGACTTTCGTGCGTAGTCTTAACTTCTAGGTCACACATGTTACTATTTGTGTAGTAAAACAGATAAGACATAAAAAGGTTTTTAAATCACGACTTCCACTACCGCCTAGCCATTAAGCCACAGGCGGGGGTGACCGCTGCGAGGCTCACACGCCAGCACCCTCGGCTTGCATCTGGGGTCTTCAGGGGCCGTCTCCCCAGATGCCAATGACATCCGCAAAGCAACATGAGCGCCTCGCCCACAGTCACGAAGCACAGGCGTTCCGACTCCAGGAAGGCATGTCTGGGACCCCAAAGGGTCCGCCCCTGGGGGGTGGGAGACCCGCCAGCCTCGCCACGTGAGAACACAGCATGTGGCTGTGACAGAACACCCTGTAGGACGTTACAAACCCAGCACCTGGTTCTGCCCTGGGAACCTAGGAGGCGGGGTGGGCAGAGACCGCTAACCGAATAAACAAAAAAAATTCTCTAACTTCCAATTTCCTCTTCCTCCAGGGCAGAGCTAGACTAACTGCAGCCAATACACTTCTAGCCCGGCTCACAAAATCCCCACACGAGGCGACCCGCCCCGGTTTCCCATTTCCGCCACTGGATGCGGCCATGCAGGACCGCCTCAGAAGCCACGCGTGCGGACGGGGACCTCGTCGGCAGGCCTCCCCCCGCCGCCTTGGAATAAGCGCCTGTCCCGTTCAGCTGCTGGGACCAGGGGTCTGTAGCAGCTTCGCGGACCCACCTCCACGGCGCGGGGCGGGGCAGGGGCTGTTTCATCCATTCAGAGTCACTTGGCAGAAACAAAAAGTTCCGAAGCACGAAGCACAGGAGAGAAACGGAGGCCACAGAAACGGCCCGCCTGGTCTGCAGAGCTGGAAACAGTGAGCTGGAAAGACTGTGAAACGAGATCTCGGAATGACAGCGGGAGGGCGGTGAACCGTCGAGTGCAAACCGGGCGACGCGGATCGGATCAGAGGAGATGCAGAGAGAACTAGCTGGAAACCCCAGAAACGAACACCAGAGTCATCGAAACCAAGCACGCATCGGGACCCCTCGCGAGAGAGGTGGGGTGACAAGGGCTTCCTTCTCCCTGCCAGAAAGGAAGGCACGAGCGCTCGCATCTAGAAGCCACACCAAACACACACGGGATAAACTTAAATGAAACCTCTCGGGACACGCTGTTCCGAGACAGAAGGGACCGCTGACCTGGGCGGGCGGGACCAGCAGTACGACAGCGGCCCTCCGGTGCGGCCAGGAGTGCCGAGGCTTTCCCAAAGCAAAGGAAAAATGACGGCCCCCCTACCATTTGCTACCCAGCTTGACCCAGAGAACAGAATAAAGATGAGATAGGGGGACAGTGAGGGGAGCTCATGGGAAGAACGACGCCAGGACAAACCAACTCACAAACTGCCCTTCGTCGATGCCTATGACAGTCACGCCCAGGGCCTCCTGGGCCACGTCGCGGAGCAGGCAGGCCGGCAGCGCCTCCATGGTGTTCCTGCGGGGAAAGCCAGCAGGTGAGCAAGGGACAGCAGCCACCAGGATGCAGGGGCCCGAGCAGCTCTCCTGAGCACCCCCCTACCGGTGACGCAGGTTGCCCTGAGTGCTCAGGGCATCGAGGAGCTGGCGCCCTGGGAAGGCCTTTGAGGGGGACACCGGCCCTCTGGACCAGATGTCAGTGGGGCCACTGTAAAGTTCTCCTCTGCTTCTGTTCAACGGTGGGCCGGGATGGACAGGGTGACCTCATCAGGCACAGCAGCCAGGGCTTACGGTCCTTTTAGGAGCCGACGAAATATTCTAATTTCAATTAAAAATCAGGAGAATAAGTATAATACAGCCTGCATCATATCTGTCTTCATATCGATGTAATCATAAAATACAATGTTTTTCTTTTCGTGGAGGGAGGGGCCCACGAAGGCAAAGTGCCAACATGGTCCTGGGCAGAGCTAAGCTTGGAACCACAACAGCCACGCAGTGACCAGAAGAACTTCCTCCACTCAGCACCCCCGGCCGATTAAAAGATTTCTCCAAGATCACAGAGTTATTTGCTGGCACAGCCGGATTCCAAGTCCGCCGTCACACTGCTATCTCGTGTCCTACCCAGCGGTTTGAAAGCGAAAGGCCATGTGTGGGAACGTCCCAGTGCATTAAATGACACGCTGGACTCTGTCCTGCCCCCCGCAAGCCAAGGCCTTTTGGAAGAGGAAGGCTGCTTTGTCCTCTGTCTTTTTAAACAGTTTCTATGTTTTTCTACAATGTTTTCTTCTGTTTCTATTTTTGCTTGCTCCTCTGAGCTGGCCTTCGAGGAGTTGGTAGTTTCCTGAACGCTCAGCAGTTTGCAACTGTATTTATAAAAAATTAAATACTTTACAAGTACAGCTGAGTTATTATCTTGCCATCGCCCTACTATTTCATGCATTCTAAACTCCCTCTCCCCTCCCAAAACAGAGAAAAGCAGAGGGCGGGCAGGAAGCAAGCCGGTTACAGCTTCGGCAAGGGCAGCGTCTCCACTCCTGCTGAGTACTCGGTCACGGTCACTGGCCCCACAGCTCCCCACAGCTCGTGTTAGACGGGATTTGTGGCACCTGGCCAGAACCCAGGTTTAACCCTGCTCTGACCAACTCCAGACACGGAACTTCTAATCCCTGCACCATGTTGCCTCCTCTGCCCTCACTGTCCTCCCAGGGTGTCCCCGTCCTGTGCAGTGGACACCACGTGTCAGCGGTGAGGAAGCACACTGGGAGGCGTAAGTAGACCTGCATCAGACAGCACAGCCTGGAACGTGACTCTAATTCCCGACACCTGGCCGCAAGACCCCGGCATCATCCACCCCACCGCCCGCCCAGCTTCGGGAACCCCACACCCCCACCCCGAAGCCGTGAGCCCTGCATGCGACATGGCACGGCTTCGCTGCGGGCAGCGCAGGTGGACAAGCCCGGAGGACTGAGAGAGCCAGTTCGCGACCTCTGCATAGCCGTAAACGCCGGAGCGGGGCTGCTCGGCAGCATCCCTGGCCCCCATCTGCCGGATGCCAGAAGCATGCACCCCCGCCTCCAGCCGGGAAAACCACAAACTCCAGACATTGCCAAATGGACTGTGGGGGGCAAAATCGCGCCGGCGAAGATCCACCGGGCTGGAGTCCAGCAGAAGGCCATGTGCTAGGCAAGCTTGCCACGCAGCTCGTAAGGTCTGCTGAGCCGAAAGTTCAGTACCAGGCATCCGCCTGATTGCCCCACCCCACGAAAGGGCTCTGACGGCATGTTCCGGGTGGGCTCCTCGGAAGAGGTGACAGGACAGGAGGGGCAGGGACTGACCGGTCATGCGTGCAGAAGCTGTCGCTGTACCGCGTGTCTTTGGCGTATTTGATCATCAAGCACCTGTACTGGGCAATCTGGAAGCGTCGGAGCCGTCTCATGAGCTCCGTGCTGCAAGGGCAGAGCGGCTGGTGAGAGGGGGTGGGCACACCCATCGGCCGGAGCCAGGGCACGCGGAGACCCCACCAGCAGACGGACAGATGGGAGAGCGGGGTATGGAAAAGGCCAGTGAGGACGAGGGGGCCGCCCCGAGGTCAGTCGAGATCTGAGAGGGGCTTAAACAAGTGCCCTGTGTCACTGGGGGCCTGGTGACAGAGAAGGCACTCAGGTAGTTTGGGGAAGGACTGGAGGGGTTTCTCCGGGACATGGGGGGCTGGGCAGAGGCAAAGTCCTCAAGCAAAGGAGAGGGCTCCGAAGTAATCTCCCAGAGTTCTTTTCTTCACAGACTGAAGTGACGTCACAAAACCTTTTTGAGCAGCTAAAGCACTTTGTCTCTAGGTCTAAGAGCCCCACCCTGGGCCTCACCCTTGTAGGCCAAGGGAGTTACGGAGGGGCTCACTGGCGCCACCTCGTGGAGAGTGGTTCTATGACATAGGGGAGCAAAGACGCCTGGCCTGACTCTTCGGTGTGGAATGTAATTTTCCCGGCCGACTAAGGAAAGTCGCACAGGAAGGAGGCGCATAGACACAGCGAGAAGCAAAGGGCCTGGCCCACAGGGGACACAATTTTTAAAAGACTGGGACGCCACCTACCGAGCGAGGGGCTAAACTGTAAGCAGCTGTGACCAGCTCGGGAAGGAGCGTTCCTTGAGTGACACTAACAGGAGCAGCGTTAGACCTGGGCAGGCGGGGGAAGAGTGCCTCCTCCAGGACCGGACTGCAGGGAGGGGTGGCATGCAGGGCGGGAACGCAAGGTCTGGCAGTGGGGGCTGTCCTGAAGGGGGGCTCTGAGAGGGGCGGCAGGAGAGGAGGGCAAGGTCGCGGTGGGGATGGAGAAAGTGGTCCCAGACCATCCTCCCCGCCCGGCGAGGCCATTACCTTTTTCCTGAGAACATGGGTCCGAGGATCACCTAGGAAAGAAGAAGAGGTCACTTCGGGGCCCGCTCCGCACGAACGCTGGGGCACGAGCCACGACCCCGACCCGGATCCCGCATGCAGGGACCCGGCCCCGGCGCCCGCACCTGGATCTGCCCCCGGGTCTTGCTGGGGGAGCCAGGCAGCACCGTGGGCAGGTTGACGCAGCTCATGGCACCTCCAGGAACCTCTCCGGACAGAAACCTCGCTCGCACCCGCAGCTCCGAAAGCTCGCGCCGGTTCCCGCGCGCCCACTTTTACCCTCCGCGCGCTGGCGCATGCAGGGACCCGGCCCCGGCGCCCGCACCTGGATCTGCCCCCGGGTCTTGCTGGGGGAGCCAGGCAGCACCGTGGGCAGGTTGACGCAGCTCATGGCACCTCCAGGAACCTCTCCGGACAGAAACCTCGCTCGCACCCGCAGCTCCGAAAGCTCGCGCCGGTTCCCGCGCGCCCACTTTTACCCTCCGCGCGCTGGCCAATCGGGAGCCGGCACCGCCGGCGCCACCGTCCCTCTGTCAATCACCGCGCAGCCGTGCAGCTGGCGGGAGATCGCTCTCTCGCCCCGCCCCCTGGCGGGTGGGATCGACGATGCGCGCGCGCACTCGGCTCGAGGCGCCAGGGCCGCGGCGGTGGGCGGGGCTTCCGGGGCGGGGCCTGGCCCGAGCCTCGCCCCGCCCCATCGCCCACGATAAGTACGCGGGGGCTGTTGCACGTCTGGTTGTAGACCGCGGGATGGCGGGACCGCGTGAGTGCGGCAAGGGCGAGGCTCCCTGGAAGAAGATGTCTAAAGAGGTAGGAGGATTGCGGAGAGTGGCTGGGGCTGAGGACTATAGCTTAGAGATAAGGTGAAATTTCTAAGAACGAAGCTTAGAAACGCTCTACTGTGGTAGTCTTTGAGCGCCTACTGTGTGCCGGTCCCCGAAGGCTTTAGCACCGCGTTGTCATCGCAGGCAGGCTTTTGTGAGCCTGATCATAAGGGTAGAGAAAATCGAAGCCCTGGCTATGTTAATCTCCATAAACCCACAGGAGTTGAGGCTGAAGTCCCCACCTGCATCTGAAGTTATGCAGTGTGTATGGAGGACGTGCCAGACGCTGAAGGTTGCGGAAAGGCCGGTGTTTACCTAGGGGTGGTTATGAGGGTTAGAAACAACATATGGCAAGCACTTATTATGATTATCATTCAGTTATAATTTATAGTTCTCCTGCATTGTAGGCAATGGTTCTTTTTCTGGTCATGGACACATCTGAGAATCTGTTGGAGGTTATAGATACTGGCCCCCTAAGAAATCTCATTTTCTGTCTGTCTCTGTCACACACACATACACCCCTAGCAATATCAGAGGACTCTCAGAAATCTATTGCAATATCGTTATCAAAAATAATAGCAATAAATATTATAGCAGTCACTCAGTGTGCCATACTACAAGTAATAACATTTACAGGTACAGACTGCACAGATCCAAAGATCCCTGTTCAACAGGAAGAGGAGATAACCCTCGTTTGAATGGTTAGCTTTACTTCATTTACATGCCTTATTGTCTTTGACCCTTGTGAGGCTGTTATGCCCATTGTATAGATGAGGGAACTGAGCCCCAGAGACTGTAAGTAAGCTTCCAACAGTAAAACAGCCTTTAAGTGAAGGAGCTTGGATGGCACTCAGCCCATCTGACTCCAGAGCCCGACGGCTCGCCATGAGGCCTGTCTTTAAATTCCCCACGCCCACCTTTGAGCCCTTTCTTGCTAACTCGGTTTCTTGTTACTTTCTGCATTAAGTTTGAACTGAACATCTTTGCCTGACAGCCAAGATCCCCCGTCCTCCAGTCCCAGCTCCCCAGCTCATCAGCATTTCCAAACTGACCTTCCAGTCCTTCCTCGTCAACTCTGTGCCTTCGATTGTGCTGTGTCTTCCTGCAGTCAGAAGCGTACCCTCTCAAGGAAGATCAGCTCCACGTCACTCTCTGCGGCGGCCGCCCCAGCGCCCTGGCCTCCCGTGATCTTAGCTGCTGTAGGAGTGGTGCTCATGGTGTCATTAATCGAGACACACTTACAGGACCTCGTCTCCCCTTTATGGCTGTCCACTAAAGGCATGGCTGTCACTCTAGACCCTAGATCTGAGAGCGTCTGCCATGTTATAGCGGAAGCACCTAATTAATTGGCTGGAGGGAGCGGGGCGAGAGGGGTGAGTGGGGATGGATTGTCAGGCTGGAGACTGGAGGGGCTTGAAGGAAGCTGAGGGCATCTGTAAGAGCCTGAGAGATCGAGGAGGGAGCTTCTCAAGGCAGAGAGGAGCCTCCAGGCATGTAGAGGGGAGGGACCACACTCCACAGAGGACAAAGGTCTGAAGGAGCATGTGTCTGTCCCACAGGAGCTGGAGACTCAGTACTTGCCCAGCAGATGGGTCGTCAGGCTGGGAGCAGAGGAAGCCCTGAGGACCTACTCACAGATGGGAGACAAGGGTATTGCGGACCTCTCCGTGACCTCTTTGAGTGGACTTCAGCATGTGGCGGTGGTTTCAGAATGCCGGGGGAGGGGCGGAGTGCACAGTCCCAGTTCAAGGCCATTACCGTAGCCCAGGCATTGCGTAAAGGTGGGCTCATGTTGTAGCCGCCAGCCCCCGATAGATACACGGACCACCAGAAATCAGTGAGTTATAGGAAATACACTCTTTATTCAGCCAGCTGGGTCTGCCCGGGGTACACAGACCCCAAATTAAGCAGCCCCGAAATGCAGAGGTACAGGGTTTTTAAGCCCTAAACCCCATTCTTCATCCTGTTTGAACACACAAGTCTATTTTTCTTCTTTTTACTGTCAACCCACAGGTCGGTTGTGCAAGCGGGGATATAGAAGCAGAAAGCTTATTGTTAGAATGTTACGTTCCCATAGGCGATGGCCTATGTCCCCATGGGCGATAGTCAAGCAGTAATTTTCCAGCCAGCACACTCAGGTCCAGGCGCCAGGGAGTCCTCGCTGCAGAACTGTAGAAGGCAGGAGGGCCCGGGTCAACCATGCTCCCCTCCCTTCCTGCTCTGCCAAGCGTGTCCTTAAGACCACATGCCACAGCGGTACAGGGAGGCGGAGTGAAGAAATGCCGCCCACGTGGGGTATCGCTGCTATTTATACAAAGCAGTGAAGGCTTTTTTTCTTTAAAGAAATCAGGGCCTGGGATCCTGTAAGCTAGTGAAGTGTCTATCTCTGCCCTGTGTCTCCAGATTGCATTTCAAAGAGATGGCTCCCAGGTCCTTGAGAAAAACACCCCTAGGCTATAAAACTGGCTGGAGATTTGTTTAGCTTTTAAAAATATCTACATGCATCTCCAAGGGGTAGAGGAAGGATTTACCGATTGCACAGTCCCCTAAGATAACTGTTCTGAGGGAGGGAGGCAAGCTCTCTTTTCCTTTGGCACCAGGGGGAATTAAATTATTTCTCTTATTTTTGACTCGTATTCACTCTTACAGCGTTGACCTTGCCGCGCGGGTGGTGGTTTCTTCTAATGAGTAGATCACGTTTAAGGGCTGGCCTCCTTCAGGCAGGGCGCACAGGGCCTGCTGGGTGAGCATGGGCAGAGAGCTGAGGGAGGTTTTAAAACTGTTTCCTCCATTAATGGTTTTTAAACTTATGTTACCAAGACTCTCAGTAAAAACACTTACACTGAACTGCAGTCTGACCGCTCCGCCTCTGCGAGCTTCATCCGCTCACCTGAGTTCCCAACTCCCAGCCCCCAGGCCACGCCTCTCCCCCCGGAGGACCAATCGCCAGTGAGATGGGTGGGGCCTCGTGATTGACAGCCTCTGCGACTGACGCAGGTCTCCCACGGCCCCTCCTGCTTTTCATGAGCTTTCATGGGCAATGGGCCACCAGATTGCACCAGAGAAGAGAGAGGAAGAAAACAAAGGCACATAAAATATAAGACCCACTTTCGTTTTATCGTGGCAAATACGCATAACATAAAATTTACCATTTTAATCATTTTAACACTTCAGTCGCGTTTAGGGCATTCACAGTGTTGCGCAACCATCGTCCCTAGTTCCAAAACATCTTCGTCATTCGCTAAGGAAACCCCTCTACCCATTAAGTCGTCACTCCCCCTACCCCCAGCCCTGGCCGTCTCTGCGGATGTGCCTGTTCTGGACATTTCGTAGAAACGGGATCCCATACACGTGGCCTTTTGTGTCTGGCTCCTTGCCCTTGGCGTACTGTTTTGGAGGTCCATCCAGGTCCTAGCCCATGTCAGCACTCCGTCCCTTTTTATGTCCGAATGATATTCCATCCTACGGACATCCCATATTTTGTTTATCCATTCATTCGTTGATAGGCATTGGGGCTGGTTCCACATTTTGACGATTGTGAATAGTGCCACGATGAACATTCGTGTACAAGTTTTTGCTCAGGAGTTCTTACTATGACATTCAACAGACAAAGTCGTTCTACCAAACTGCACGTATTCTAAATGCTTGGTGTCACCTTAGGTACTTAGCTCATGGTGGACCCACGGCAGACAGTGCAGAGCTTCCAGTGTCTACGAACCGTGCCACCGGGCACCATCTGTGGTTGGCTATTTTAGGGAACCGTTGTTTTCTTAGTATACAAGGAGCACAGGCTTACCCAAAAGGGTTTTAAAAATAAAGTCATCGATGACTCCGCCCCCCTGTCATTTACCAGCTGGGGGCTGACGGGATGGCTGCCGCTGCAGGAATCAGCCCTCTGTCGTTAGCCCTCCATGGCTGCGGCAGGTCTCCTGGCCCCATGCTTGCATTGGGGAACTCCGGCCCCATTTCCCCCAGTCCCTCCAGCCCAGGGCTCAGCTGGGTCCGTGGACCTGGTTTCTAGGACCTGGAGCTTCTGTCTGTAGGGGTTTTAACACTTGGTTATAAATAATAGTTGCCCAGTTTTTGCTTTCTCATAAAAGGAAGGTTGTGATGAGGTCTATTCATTGAAGTCCTCCCGTCTTCCGACCCTTGGGGACTCATGCTCTGGGGCGAGGCCGCGCGTCACCTCATTCTCTGTCCCTGCATCCACTGCTGGGCCACCTCCTGGAGAGAGGCCATCTCCTTCTCAGGGTCGGGTTGAGTTTTGGGATCCCCGTGGGAGCGACTCGTTGCAGGCTAACGAATGCCTGCTCCTGCTTGGTCTTAATCCCAATTCAGTTTAGGCCTTGTCTGTTTGGGCACAACAGAAGCCCCGTCGCTCACTTGGAGGAACCCCTGTATTGATTATACTGCTGTCTTTGGACAAACCTCGATGACTGATGACCGATGACCTTGTTGAAACTTTCATACCGCGCTGGTGGGAGGGGAAAGCCCCGCGGACAGGCAGTGGCCTCAGAATAACAAATGCATACACTTTCGACTCAGAAATTCCACTGAGCGCGCTTCCTAGAGAACCTTGCACGCCGGTGTAATAATGTGTGTGCAAGGCTATTCACAGCAGAGTTGTCTGTGATGGCCAAGCCCAGGTGACTCTCAGCAGAGGATCGTCAGTTCATGAGGTCTTAATCCATTCTGCAAGTATTCACTGGATGCCTGACACGTGCTGGTAACTCACATAGGTGCACAGGTCACCAGTGAGCCAAATAGACAACCCCTCGCCCATGCATCGTGATTCAAAGTGGGGGAGGGGTGACAGACAGTGACCATAAGGAGTGAGTGAGTGTCTAATAGAAGGGCAGTGCTGTGAAGAAGGATAGGGAGCCGGTGGGGGGGAGGCAGAGGAGGGGTGTTAGGACGGTCAAGGCCAGCCCCCTGGAGAAGGCCAGCAGACAGAGGTGATTTTGCAGGCCCCCAGGGCCATTGAGGGAGTGTGGGAGCCTGGTCCCCTAGTGTGGCTGTATTTGGAGATGGGGCCTCTAAGGCAGTTATCAAGGCTACATAAGGCTACATAGGGTGGGACCCTGGCCCTGGGGTGAGGGGTGGATTATGAGAAGAGACACCAGAGAGCTCACCTCCCCACAAAGGGACAGAGCTCCACATGCACAAAGAATAGGCCACATGAGCACACAGGGAGAAAGCGCCACCTGCAACCAAAGGCAGGGTCCCCACCAGACACCTGTTAGGCCTTGGCCTTCCCGTCTCCAGAACTGTGAGACAGGAATGTCTGTCATCTGAGCCTCCCACTCTGGTGTTCGCGAAGGCTGCCGCGGCTAAGACAGGAATCCAGCGGATCTGAACCCAGGATCTATGGGTGGTGTGCAAGGTGTAACAGGCTCACGCCTGGGCCGTAGGGCATCTGGTGGAAGCCGGAGAGCAGTGAGGAGCTGTCGCCGCTTCCAGGGGAGAAGCGAAGGGGATCCACAGAGGCCTCAGTGGCGGTGGGGAAGAAACTCAGGATTCGGGGGGAAGGAGAGCCAGGAGAACTTCCCGATGGTCGGGATGTGGTTTGTTTGTCCCAAGCAACTGCTGTGACTAGTTAAATAGATCAATGCACAGTCATAGGATGGAATGTAAGTAATTGTTTTTTAAGAGAGAAAAGAATGAGGAAGTTCTGTGTGCTGATTTGGAAGGCTCTCCAAGAAATCTTAAGTGAAATGGGTAGGGCAGAAATGTATTGAATATGCTGTCATTTGGATAAAGGCAGGGGGATTCTGTGTTGATGGCAGCGGCCACCTCTGCAGGGGACCAGGGGACGAGAGGGGAGGGAACATTTGCTGAAAAGCCTCTTGTGTATTTTTTTTTTTAAACCATATAAACGTATTATTTCTTCATAGGAAGAATTAATGTCTTTCAGTTATTTTTTAAACTGATGTCAGTTAACTCGTAACCTTCACAGATTAAGTTCCTTTAAACATTTGAACACAGTGTACAAAGTGTGATTAAATTCTTGAGAAACACTTCAGCTTAGAATCATAAATGCAACATATTTGATTCACTTAACAAAGTCTCCTGGGGTTCTAATGAATTGAAACTTATCTATTTGCTAATAGATCGATTCCGTTAAGCGTGTCCTATAGAGCGGTCTGTGCTCAGTGTGACGTGTGGACACACACAGAGCCTACTGTGTTCTGGTGGTTAGACCCTTGCAGAAGTCACATGTCAGGCTCTCTGGACAGTTGGTCACTTGAAGCTTTAGGAGATGAGACATCTCCCTCCACCCCACCGTGGGAGCGGGGCTGGGGACCCACAAAACGCAGCCTCCCCTGGCCTCATCCCCTTATTCCAAGGACAGGGGTCAGTGATAGCAAACCTGATTTTGCAACTGCTTCGCTTGGCTTTGGCACATGGGAAATTTGGCATCTCCCATCATTTTTTGTTCCTCTTGGCTTTAAGCAGCCCAGCTGGAATGCAGACAGCCTCTTCTAACAGTTTTATGTGCACCGAGGAAACACAGTTTATACAAACTATCTTCTCCTACCCAGTCTGCCCCTGCTGGAGGTGCAGAGTCACCCAGCAGGATAGCACGGCTTTCTTTGGGGGCCCACTGCGCCCACGAGGTGGGGTCCTGGGGGCCTCCAGGAGCACGTGTCCAATTGCAGGTCTCTTCCCAAGGGTCCTCAGTATCAGCAAGATCGGCCTGACCGCGCCGTATGGTAACGGTTTTCACTGTTTTACATCGCGATATGCTTTTCAGTTTTTCCTTTTCCATTAGAGCATTTGGGGTCCTTTTTACACCCTCTTTGCCTAGTTTAAGGTCATGGAGACCTCCGATTTTCTTTTCTAAAAGCTTAGTTGTCTTGTCTGTCACATGTAGAACTGTTGTCCGTCTGGAATTGGCCTGGTACGGCGTGAGGTAAGGATCAAGACACTTTTTTCTCTCCATTTGGATATTCCATTGACCCGGCGCTGCTTATTGAAATATTTATTTACACAATTTTTTTTTCTTTTTCATAGAATTTTCTTTTAAGTGATTACCATGTATCAGGTCCTGGGTATACAGAGGTGGGCCAAGCCAAGCCCTTGTGATGGACAGACAGTAAGCAAGATGAAACATATACCGGGGTTGAGGAATGCTGGGATACACAGTGAAGCCGAGGTGTGGGATAAACCGTAGTGTATTCAGCCAGTCTTCTATTACAGGTCACTGAGGCTAGGACCAATGTTTTGCTATTATAAATAGCATTACTATGGGCATCTTTTATTTATTCTTTTAATTTTTAATTAGTGTCAAGAATACAGTACATCGGTTAGACATCTGTATAGTTCATAGAACGATTCCCCCAATCGCTCCCTCCCTCCCCTGGCCCTCCACCCAGCCATCATCTTAATGCTGACTGCTTTCCCTCTGCCGTGCTCCCCATCCCCGTGACCAACTATCAGCTACTCATTTGTACTTCTTTAACCCTCTGTTTTTGATTAGTTTGTTCTTTTTATTCCTTAGATTCCGCATGTAAGTGAAATCATATAGTGTTTATCTTTCTCTGTCTGACTTAAATACCTTCTAGGTCCACCCAACCAATATCTTTTCCCATACCCTTCCTTTTAGTCTGTGTCTTCATCTGAAGTGAGTCTCTTAAAGACACCACGTAGGGGTCTTGTTTTCCTTTCTGTTCATCCGCTCTATCTTTTATTTGGAGCATTAATTCTTTGCCATTTGAAGTACTTATTGGTAGGAATGTAGTTGTTACTGTGCGCATCTTTAAAACAAGTCCTTGGGAATATTTCTGATTATTTTTATAATAGATATGTGGATTATGCATCGAAGAATATGATCTTCTTGGCCTTTGATACGTATTTCCAAGTTGCCCTCCAGAAGAGCTTACCAGTTTACACTCTCTCCAGCACCGGTGTTGCGGGGAGCTAAGCTGCTTGGAGTTCAGAATTGTTGGCAGACCCTTTGGTGGGCATTCTTTACTGCCACATGGACATACGGGGTCCCCTACGACCCCCACACCTTGCGTATGGTTTTTTTATACACAGTATTTACAATACCTTTCAATACCCTTCCTCCTTTCTTCCACCTCAAGTCTTAGCCAATTTTCTCTCCCAATATGGCACTCGATTACAAATTTATATTGTTTTCTTATCTATTTATTTCAAGCGAGTTTATATCTTGTTTCCCTAGAAGGTTGTTTTTCCAAATGCCTGGAAAAGTTTCTACTTTCCAGAACACGTAGCGCAATGTAACACAAAAGTCACCATCAAAACGAGCTCCCTTACAGGCAGGAGTTGGCAGGTAGCGTTGGGCCCACTGGATCCGTCAGCCCGGCCTCTGTAATCACACGCATGTGGAGCATTTCAGAACCCAGAACCCAGGGCTCGGGGAAGCACTGACAGCTGGAGCTGAGCCCTCAACCCGAAGGGGCTTTTAGCAAAAAGGCGTCTACCGAAATAACACGGGGATTGCTGTGCCCGAGGTTGCACTGACAGGGACTTGTTTGTTTCCGAGACAGCCACCAAGAGGGCCCGGGCCACCACAAGGAGCCTGCTGGATGTCCCCTACGGAGACAGCGAAGGGGACAAACTGGACATTTACTTTCCCAAGGACGCATCTGGAGGTGCGCGGAGGGGGCTGGCAGCCCCACGGGCGGGCTCGGCTGGGAGCTCGGCCTCAGCCCGCATGCCCTGTGCTCCTAACAGCGCTGCCTTTCTTCACGTTCATTCACGGCGGGTACTGGCAGAGCGGAAGGTGAGTGGGGACCTCTGGCGGACTGCAGAGAAATTCGGTTGACTTTCCCCGGGGCTGCTGCAGCACCGCCAACG